TATATTAAGTTTTCAAATTTTACCCACGTGGGATTTTGGAGCTGCCTAATCGCTCAATTCAAAGTTTTGTTAAATTTTCAAGTATTTGTCAATTAAGTGCAATAAAAATATATTTAAAATGCAAAAGAAACATAAAGTTTATGTCATATTTATGTTGATTGCGACTTGTTATTTATATTTTTCGTCAAATTTATCATCATTCAATGAAGAATTCATTACAAATAATATCCCAAAGGTGAATATTGATTTTTTGTAATTTTTCCTTTTTTTTAATTTCTTAATTTTAGTTCAATTTTATAGAAATTTATCAACATCCCATTTACATAATAACTCCAACTTATCGACGGCCAGTGCAATTAGCAGAATTAACTAGATTAGGATATACGTTGAAACATGTTAGGAATTTATTTTGGCTGGTCATTGAAGAAGCAGAAGAACCAACTCCATGTGTTACGAAACTTTTAGATGAAATTGATGTTCCATTTGTTCATTTAGTTGGTGAGTTTATTTCTAAATTGTCGATGATGTTTAATAAATATTAATGAGAAATATTTAAAAGCCCAAATGCCTAGTGATATTCCTAAAAGTGGACCAAAGCCTCGTGGTGTTGCAAATCGCAATCGAGGTCTTCAATGGCTTCGTGCTAATGCAACAAATGGAGTTTTCTACTTTGCTGATGATGACAATTCATATGACCTTGAACTGTTTGAACAGGTGCAAATTTTTTATTATTCATTACCAACAAAAGAGAAATTTCTGTCACCTGAAATATCTAAAAATTATTTTAATTCCATTCAAGATTCGATTTACCAAAAAAATTTCAATGTTTCCGGTTGGACTTGTCAGTGACTTTGGATTGTCTTCACCTGTTGTTCGGAATGGTGAAGTAATTGGTTTCTATGATGGATATGTCGCAGGTCGAAAATATCAAGTTGACATGGCTTCATTTGCCATTAATGTAGAATTTCTCAACTCACGACCAAATGCAGTAATGCCATACAAAGAATCTAAGGAAGAAGATGAATTCTTAAAAGGCTTAGAACCATTCGAAATCAACGAGATTGAGGCTTTAGGATCAGGTTGCACTCGAGTAATTATCTAATTTCTTTCCTTTGCTATTTTGGTAAAACTTGAATTAATATTTTTTACAGGTTCTCGTTTGGCATACTCAAACAATCAAGGCGGAAAAATCAAAACAAATTGACCATGAAAAATATGGCAACACAAATTTGGAGAAATTAGCAAAACTTATAGTTTAAGTTATTAATATGTTATGGAAAACGAATAATATGTTAAAATGTAATAAAACTTAGGAAATTTATTTTAAGTGATCAATCACATCAGTGCAGTGATTGGCTTATTAAGTTCTCCAATTATTTTAAATCGTCATCGCAGTTAATTAATTTAATTTAGTTCTAAACTACATGGTAGTTTAATCAATTTTGATATTTTCCAAATAATAAAACGTGCAAATAAATTCTAGTGAAAAATTTTAACTCAGAAGATGAAAACCTTTTTTGATTTATTTTGTGTCACAAAATGAACAAAAATTGTTTGCCAAAATCCTTTTCTAATCAAATATTTCGTCTTAAAGGATGAATCAAGATTTCAATGACGGGTTAAATGATCAAGTTCCATTCGAAGAGAGAGCTGACCTCAGCGCTGAGCTACAAAGCTTTTTAGACGATGTGGAAAAACTTTTCGAAAAGCCGACATGGTTTTATAGAGTTCAACGAAACCTGAAGCAATAAAAAATTTAATTTCTTTAATTTGAAACACTGGAGATTAAAAACCAGATGCATCCAATTGTTTCATATATTTTATAGTCACTTTCTAAATATGTATTCTCAACCACAATAATCATCATTGCAAAAAGTGTGTGTGAGAGAAGTTAAGAAAAAGTTCAAACGTCGACAATTCTTGCTTATAAAAGTTTTACTTATTTCAGTTTTAATGCACTCAT